TAATTGTATGTTAGAAAGCTTTACATAAGTCATGAAATAAGAAAAGATAATTTGGGCATAGGATAACTAGGCACATGAACATTGATTCATATCCCTTTTCGACCATAGACTATGTTGTGAATCTAATGAACTTCACTACTCTAGCAAAGGCAAATGCTGAATCAAGGAAGAAACTCCAAATTCCATTACTGTAGAAGAGAAAAAATGTCCCGTTAAAGTCAAAATGCAAAAATTCTCTCTAGTTTTAGATGGGCCTGCCTATTTTCAAAGTCCCAGAAAAGACTGGATCCTATGCAACAAAAAGGACTTAAAATGATTGTTTGTAGACTGAAAAACCATTGTGCAAATCTAGATGCTAATTATCTTCCACTTCAATAAGCACAGTTGCATTTTATTTGATTTAATGGAAGGAGCATGAGAGAAGATGCTCCGAGAGAGCTGTTTCTAGTTTTGGCTCCTACTCGCTACTAGCTATTTGACCTTGAGTAAGTCACAGTGTAGTTAGAAATTAATTTCTTCATATGTAAAATTAGATGTTAAAGCTATCTTTTTAAAACAGTATGTGGGATTGTATTTTTTTAATCAATAAAATATGAATAGCTGGGGTACCAAAAAATGAGTTATATTCTGTTTTCTTCTACTTCTCAAAGAGATTACTGACTCATCTTAATGCAAGTGGTAGCACCAATGCTGGTTTAAAAAGCTAAATAAATGTTGCAATCAAATTATTTTTGGTGTTTGTGTACTTTGTGAGTCCTGGGCCAAATGAAGAGATCGATCTTCTGTTCTTACATCAAACCCAGAATTTAATTCTCTCTTCAAGAAAATCCAAGCTCCATGCTTGGAACTTTCCATTCAGTCTCCCTGGTGAGTTTTGTCTTTGTACGTGAGGGCCTGGGCTAGTCTCCAGATGACAGCACAACTCCCTAAGATCTTAAGTTATAAACAAACTGATGCCAGTTTTCCTCAGGCCCCCAGATTATTGCAAATTCCCAAGGTTACAAGATATTAAAGTTGTTGTCCTATCTGTTTGGTGTGTACCAGTAAAATGACATCATCTATATTCTTAAAGCTCTTAGAATTATATGAGGTTTATTTTATCCCTGGAGGTGTCTGCCATCTCTTTAAACCTGGG